GCCGAGGAGACAGTGCTGAGGAGACAGTCTCCAAGAGACAGTGCCGAGGAGACAGTGCTGAGGAGACAGTGCTGAGGAGACAGTGCTGAGGAGACAGTCTCCGCGGAACAGTGCAGTGGAGGAGACAGTCCCCTTCATACTGTCTCCTGGAGACAGTCTCCAGGAGACAGTATAAAGGGGACAGTCTGGGGGAGACGCGGGGCTCCAGGTTGCTGTCTCCTTACAATTTGTTTTATTGTGAAATAGAGAAAAAAATAAATTAAAAAGAAAAAAAATAAAATATATATTTACTATAAACATGAAACAGAGAAAATATAACAACAAAAAACACCCCCAGGCTGTATACAGAGCCATGCGTGGGGCCCGCAGGGGACCTCCATGCCTCCCCAGTAGGAGCTGAGCCCCCTATAAAGAATAAAATATTATATTTATTGTAAGGTTTTTATTATTTGTATTTTTTTATAGTTTTATAAAAATATAAACTCCTTTCTAGGGACTCACCGCACCGCGATGAGCTGTGCATACACCGCAACAACATATGCAACAGCATGGCCGGTGCGGGCCCGGTAGAGTTATTTCCTTTTCTGTTTATATAAACAAATAAAAAATAATATTAATTAATATAATTATATTTAAATTGTTTTTATATATTTATATCTATAAAAGTTTCTGCTGCTGCGGTGTTGTGCTCGGGGTGAGGTCGCTCCCTCGTCTCCCGGGGCAGACACAGCAGGGGCCTGCCTGTGCGTNGGTGTTGTGCTCGGGGTGAGGTCGCTCCCTCGTCTCCCGGGGCAGACACAGCAGGGGCCTGCCTGTGCGTCTCCATGTACAGGTGTATGCATCTTTGGTGTATAAAAGTAAATTAAATTATAATTTTAATTTATTTAATATATTTATATTTATATTTACAATATATTTACCTATATATTCTCTTTTTTTCTCCTCACTTACACCCCCTGTGGGGGCCACTGCTGGGGTGTATGTACGACGCAGCAACGGGCCTGGTCTCTGCTGGTTCGATGCAGGGGGTATCGGGGCTGCAGTTTGGGCGTTGATGATATATATTTGTTTATTTTTATTTTATTTTCTTTTTTATTTTTTATTTTAATCTTTATTTATCCACAGAAACTCCTCTGCTGCTGCTTGCTGCTCCAGTGACGCGCCAGCAGTGTGTGGGACCAGAGCATCGGTCGCAGCAGCAGCAGCAGCAGCAGCAGCAACAGCAGCAGCACCAGCTGTTGCTGCTGAATAGGGATCCCCATAGAAATTATTTATTTCTCCGTATTTGGCTACAAGACATCTTCCTAGCTGCTGCTGCTGCTGCTGCTGCTGCTGCACGCGCCCCTCACACAATCGAAGTGGGCTAGTGAGGGGTGGCCCGTAACGAGCAGCAGCAGCAGCAGCAGCAGCAGCAGCAGCAGCAGCAGGTGGAGGCCCCTGGGTGCAGGATATTTTGCTGCTGCTTTTCCGCCTGCTGCTGTGGGGGGGGGACAGACCCAAACAACAGGTCGCCTGTCTCCGTTGGCCCCCGGTGCACGCCCCTTACAGCAGCAGCAGCAGCAGCAGCAGCAGCAGCAGCTGCAGCAAGAACTGCCGCATTTGCTGCAGCTCTGCTGCAGCAGAGGAGGACTCAGCCTGTCCCCTCTGCGGCGCCTGTCTCCTCCTAGCAGCATCAACTGTCTCCTCCCCATCACCATGGAGCTTCTCTATGACAACCCCTATGCTGCTGCAGATGGGGGACTAGGTGGCGGTGCAGCAGCAGCAGCAGCAGCAGCAGCAGCAGGAGCAGCAGGAGGAAGAGAAGCAGCAGCAGAGTTTCTAGATGGTC